CATATATTATTAAGTTGATACATAGCTGCCGAGTTCTGCTCAATTTTCTGGATCTCTTCCTCCTTCAGTGCATCTGTAAGTAAAATGCACACACACATATCCTTATGCTGTGTGAAAGTTAATATGGATAAGGTCAGCTATCCAACTAGAAAGTGCCCTCCCCAGTCATTGTGATAACTCCATTATATCAGCTTTAGAGGTGGAGAGATTCTTCTGTTTGAAAAGAAATGTTAATAATTTTCTGATGAGCATATTTTAAAAATACCAACACATTTATATTTAATGCAGCTTAAAGAGGATTTCATGCTTATTCTCCCAGTGAAAGGTTCTGTTCTGCCGGATTTGTACCAGAGATAGTAATAGGCTTAAATTGTATTGTATTTTAAAAATTCATCAAAGTGTTTTCACATCTGCTCTTTCATTTGATTCTTTCTTCAGCCCTGTAATATGGGTTAAGTGTATACTAATCCTTCTTTGACAAAGATGGAAATGGAGGATCTGAGATGTTAGGCAATTTGTCAGAAGATATAGTCTAATGGGTACCAGACCTAGAAATCATGTACTGCGACTCCCTTTTCTGGCTGTTGTGTCATAAAACCCACTTTTGAATATGAACACATTTGTATACTCCGGAATATAGGTGCAAAGTAAAACCAATGAAGGAACTCTTACAAATACAAGTGCTGGAACCACATACCTAGAGATCCCAATAGACTTGGGAGGCAAGGTCTTGGAATATGTATTTTTTAATATTATGTTTTAGTTATAGTTATATACAATACCTTTATTTTGTTTTTATGTGGTGCTGAGGATTGAACCCAGTGCTTGACACGTGCTAGGCAAGTGCTGTACCACTGAGCCACAACCCCACCCCTGGATATGTGTTTTTAATATGACTTATATGTGGCTTTGAGCCTGGTTAATAAACTGTCCTGGATATTTATTCTTTTATCCAATACTGTTCCCTGTGAATTTTGCTTTCATGTACTTTGGTTGTCTTCTTAATAGGTTGTTAGTCTTTTTCAAATTTATTAGTCTCTTCTTTATTGTGTAGTTATATTGAAGTAGTGAAATTTATTACTCTTTTTCTTAAGTTTCATGGAAAGATCTTTCTCTAGATCATTTTTAAAAAATCTACAGTTAAATTAAAAATCAGGAAGCAAAAACAACCCTTCATTCTTTATAACAAAATTCATAAGTAGAAGAAATACCTAAGTGCATAATCAAATGAGAGATTCTCAATATAAGTCATAGGTAACAAAAACCATAATTCTTTTTAATCCTAAAATTTGTAAAAGTCAAAAAATTTGCTTATAACAGCATTATTGAGAATGAGAAGAATTAGTCATTCATATAGTACTATTGATACAAAGACTTTTCAGTGAGATTGGTACCACTTCACAAAAGTAAAATTGTATATTCTCTTTGATCTAACAATTCTAGTTCTCAGGTATATATAAATCCATGCATTATGAATGTTGAAGAATATACATTATAGCATCGTTCATAATAGATATAAAAGGCGGCCATCTAAATATCTGTTCATCATAAGGATGTGACTACATCAAATATGATACATGCATAAAAGAAATAATGATGTCTCTGTGGAAAAGAGTAAATAATATTTTATACATTCTTGTATGAAAAGATTTATAAGATATATTGGGGTTATTAAATTTTAATTCAGGATAAAATGAGAATTATACATATTATGTTATTGTTTGAATCTAAAAAGATATAGGTTTGAGTTGTATCACACTAGTAGAGTATTTGCCTAGCATGAATGTGATCTCTAGCACTGAAAAAATCCATTCACGTGTGTACACACACACACACACACACACACATAAATATATACACATACACGCGTATGTGTATATATATGTCATGAATATATTTGTATAGACATAGACATGTCTCTAAGAAAAAATAAACTAGTAAATGTGATGTATTTGAATGAAAAAAGTGGGAGTTTGAAATGGAAAAAAAATCCTAAATTAATAGTATATGTTTTTCTACCATTGGAATATTTTGTCTCAGATTTTTAAAATTATTAAAAAATAAATAAACCATTAAACATAAACATATTAATCCATAAAATGATATGGAAAGTAGAGTGAACTTTATATTGTAAAATAGAACTCATCCAGTTATTTTGCATTTTTGCATTTTTTAATCATAATAGATAAAAATATATTTACATTTTCCTAAAAATATTTACATTTTCCTAAACATATTTCCATTATTATTTCATTTGACAATGTAATCGTAAGTTTGGGAAGCATCAGTTAGCATTTTCAGTCTGTACTTTCCTACTCAATCTTTATCAAGTATGGGTTTCAGATAGAGGTATAGAGTTTCAAAAAGAGAAAAGGTAAGAACTATGAGGGATCTTAGATATTTCATATTCAAACTTCATTTTGTGGATGATGAAATTGAGGTCCTGTATGATTTTTTTTTCCTTTATGTTTGGACATTTCAATAATGGTTAAATTTAAGATTGAGTTAAAGTGAAAGTTACTGCAAAGTAATTTGATACACTGAGAGTGAGGGAATGTAAATTATTTTAACCAAACTCTGACTTTAGTTGGCTCTCTGACCTTGGACACATATCCTCTCTTATCTAGATCCAGTCCTTGCGACTTTGAAATGATTGAAACCAATGATACTGTTTAGAACTATTCCATATCTATTGAACATGATTTAAAAATTCACAAAAAAGACGGTTTCTGCACTTGTAATCAAGTGCCCCAATTTCCCAAAGTTCCTGAATCTATTTAAATGTTCTCATTTTTCAAATCATGTTAAGTCAAATTAACATGTGTTTAGACAAATACTATGAATTAGGGCATTTAATAATTCTTATAAATACTTTGTTACATGAAGAATCCTATCTTCTAAGTCTTCAAATATGACTGAAGTTCACCTAAAGTTTCCATCCTTTGATTTCTTTTTTGTTTTTTTATAGCTAATTTTTTATTATGTAATTTCTTATTTATATATGACAACAGAATGCATTACAATTCTTATTAAATATATAGAGCACAATTTTTCGTATCTCTGGTTGTATACATAGTATATTCACACCAATTCGTGTCTTCATACCTGTACTTTGGATAGTAATGATCATCACATTCCACCATCATTAATTACCCCATGCCTCTTCCCTTCCTCTCCCACCCCTCTGCCCTATCTAGAGTTCCTCTATTCCTCCCATGCTCCCTCTCCCTATCCCACTATGAATCGGCCTCCTTATATCAAAGAAAACATTCAGCATTTGAATTTTTGGGATTGGCTAACTTCACTTAGCATTATCTTCTGTAACTCCATCATTTACCTGCAAATGCCATGATTTTATTCTCTTTTATTGCTGAGTAATATTCTATTGTGTATATGTGCCACATTTTTTTAATCCATTCATCTATTTTAGGGCATCTAGGTTGGTTCCACAGTTTAGCTATTGTGATTCAAGAACCAATAAATGGGATGGACTCAAACTAAAAAGCTTATTCTCAGCAAAAGAAATAATCTGTGAGGTAAATAGAGAGCCCACATCTTGGGAGCAAATCTTTACCTCTTATACATCAGGTAGAGCACTAATCACTAGGGTATATAAAGAACTCAAAAAGCTAAACACCAAAAACAAACAAACAAACAACCCAATCAATATATGGGCCAAGGACAGAAGAGACACTTCTCAGAAGATGATGTGCAGTCAATTAACAAATACATGAAAAAATATTCATCATCACTAGCAATTAGAGAAATGCAAATCAAAACCACTCTAAGATATCATCTCACTCTAGTTAGAATGGCAGCTATTATGCATACAAACAACAATAAGTTTTGGCGAGGATGTGGGGGAAAAGGTACACTCTTACACTGCTAGAGTGACTACAAATTGGTGCAGCCAATATGGAAAGCAGTATGGAGATTTCTTCAAAAATTGGAAATGGAACCACCATTTGACCCAGCTGTCCCTCCTTGTTTTATAACCCAAAGAATTTATGGGAACACAGCCACATCAATGTTTATAGCAGCACAATTCACAATAGCTAAACTGTGGAACCATCTGTTGATTTCTTAGAGCACTAATTGTTCATGTCACAACATTTTCTTGTGTTCTTCTATTGTTTCATGTAGTTTATTCCACAGCCTGAGCTGGAGTTTTATATTTCCCATTGAGTTTATATTAAACTATCCCTTGTAGTTTTAACAGAGGATTCAAACACATATTTCAGACTTAAAGAAATATTCCAGATTGCAGTGTAAAACATTGCCCTTCCAGATGCAGAGAGGTAGCAATACAGAATGAATGCAACATGAATGGCTTAGGGACAGTTGGGGCATTGGTACCATCTGGAAAGTAATGCTGATGAAAGAGTTAACAGAATATAGAAACTAAATTGTCCCTCTGTTATCCATGAGACAAATCTAAGAACATCCAAATATATAACTAGGTCTAGGAAATAGTTTCACAAGGATAATCATGGTCTTACTCTAGTTTTTCCTCATATGTTTGAGGAGAAAAGCAGTTTGCTTCCCAGGTTATGTGGAGGACCTATGGCAGATTAGCAGTACAAACTAGCTTTTCATGCAAACTGAAGCCAATTTCTTTAGATCCAAGTTTTTTTCTTTAATAGTTCCTAAGAGGAAAAAAAATGGTTAAGGGTGGGATTTAGAAAATGCTTAAATATGCAATGTAAACAATGTCAAGTTTAGGTTCAAATCATTTTAATGAATGGGAAAATCTAATTTAGATTTTTCTTAAAGTGAGGTCATTAAAAGTATTAAAAATATATTCTCTATATATAATTCCTATGAGACAATGAGTGAAATTCACCATTTACCATATGCTTTTGAGATCTCTTAAAACAACCCTTCTCTGGTTAAATATCAACACTTTCAATAGTTTAAAATACTCAAATTCCATAATAATACATCTATACTTCATATTGATTCTCTTACAATTCATAAAGAATCTTTTTCTTTCCCTGCAGGCAGAATTTACAGCCATGCGGGAGCAGTACATGCGAGGCGGAGAGGGCTTCATCATCTGTTACTCTGTTACTGACCGCCAATCATTCCAGGAGGCTGCCAAGTTTAAAGAGCTCATTTTTCAGGTCCGCCACACCTATGAAATTCCCCTGGTGCTGGTGGGTAACAAAATTGACCTGGAACAGTTCCGCCAGGTTAGTGCCAATTTTATCTGTTAGCTTCTGTCTTTTTTTCTCAGAAGATACATAGTATTCAGTGTGGCTGCTTTCCAAGGTTGACACTGAGAATTGAAAGAAATGATGCACATGATTTTTCTAGGAAGTCTAAGTGGTCCTGCGGTTGACTGTGTTGGCTACTTCAATATAATCCATCTTACATGCTATTTTACAGCAGGTCCTTATCACTCCCCTATACCTTTGGATTGGGGCTGGTTCTATGATTTGCTTTGAGCCATAGTGTATATACTTAGAAAGTTGAAATTTAAGCTTCTTCAGCTTCTGCCTTTCTCACTTGAGATATTCATCTTTGAGACACTATAAAGCGGCCCAAGCTAACTCTGTAGAAAGAATCATGTGGACAAAGTGAGATGAAGGCTCACAACTGTCCCTGCCAAGATACCACACATCTGGGCAAAACCATTTTGCATGTTCTAACACCAGTCACCTTATAAGTCACTCAAACCAATTCATGTGAAAAAAAAAAAAAAAAAAATCTCCCTCAGAGTTCTTGTCTCGATTTCTGAAATACAGAATCCATGGCAAAGAAAATCAAAATGTTTAAGCTATTATTTTTTGGAGTAAGTTTTCATGCAGTGGTGGATAAACCAGGATCTCCCTTTCTCCCAGAATCAAAACAAGCCACTACTTCTCAGGTTGACACAGAAATTATTTTCATCTATGATAAATTTCCTTTGAGCTACCCCTGATACTTCAGCCATCCTGGTTCAGGGATCAAGGAAGTTATCTTACATTTTCATTGCTCTGAGTTGTTTTGTCTAAAGCAACATTACTGAAAACTTGCATTCAAATCAAGTTTTGGTAAATCTAATTGTCTAAATTGAATTGCTTCATCTCCATTTGCATTGACCTTAAATTTGAAATGATTTTATAGAGTTTATGTTATTCCAATTGATGATTAATTTTAATCCACTTAGGATTAAGTAGCCTGCTAGTAAGATCCTTTGCTAAGGTAGGAATCTTTACCAAAGTAAATTGAGTTTTCTCTTATTTTAAGAGTTTTTTGAATTTGAATTTTCACATTCAATGCATATTAACTCTTCTAGAAGTGAAAATATCTCACAGAAAGCCAAATTTTGTAATTTTATGCTTAATATAGAAACGTTCTTATGATTTGGTACAATTCATTTTCATGGTGACATTTTTGTATCATTTACTTGAGAGTCTAAGTATCTCAACTAATTTGTTTTCAAGGCTGTAATATTAATTTGTATCCTGTGCACTGTTTTGTTTTCTTTCTTTGTTATTTCCCTTTCTCCAAAGCAATGTAGGGTACGATATGCTTTTATTTCTGTGGGTAAGAATTCAAGCTCATCTCAACAGTTAAATATGAATCTATTCTCAGATATTTGCAGAAAACAAGAAATATAGACCTAGTACCTGGACCTTTCAGATATTCTTCTAAAGCTTAGGGATGCCTCACTTTTCTTAGGGTTTTCTAGGGCAAAGTACCAGACAAGCATCCTAACAAGTGCACCATCAATGATCCCAGGGCCATCTTTATTGCACTTCTAAGAATTTCTGGAGAATGAAAAGCTTTGGTTCAGCGTCATTTGGGAAAGTCAGAAGCTAGTGAATTTGGGAACATTAGGGAAACTGTTTTCAGTTCAGGTTCTCACAGATCAATGGCTCTCTATGATTCCAAAAGCTAGTGACATTTGCTTTCCATGCACTTTCCAGGTCCTGCTTTCCTAGACTCAGAGGTGACCCTTAGGACTTCACAAAGAATGTACAACAGGACCTCAATCCCAGCTTGCATAATTAGCCACTCCTTTCTGATTAGCAGTGAAATGAATCATAAGCATCACAAATGTCACTGAAACAAATATTTTAGAAAGGCATTAATTTTGCAGATTTGACAGACTTTTCCTTTTTAGATAAAAGCCAGTAAACATGAATAGTCACCGAAAGGGCAAAAGCCATGAAAACATAAATTACAATCTTTGTTAAAATGCTCATGTACCCATGTCGCCAGTAAATGAAGTGTTGATGTGCAAATTTGGCTTCTGGCTGTGGTGCTTCTGATGGAAATAATTATTCCTAAAATCGCACAGTGGTTTTTCTTTGCAAATGATTTCAATTCACACTTTATTTTAATCTTATGACTGCCCTGTGTGGTTGTAAGGCAAGTATTTTAAGAATAAAGATATTTGAGAAGTGAATATGGATGTAGAAATTGACTTTCCTAAGCTGTTGGGGTTAGTTATAAAATTAAAGCTAAAACCCAGATCACACGTATTCTTTTTGTTACATGAGTATTTAAAAGACTAAACCTGGTTCAATTGAAAAACAAACAAACAAAAATAACAATGCTGACACCAAGACCTTTTAAAGCTCAAAGAAGTCCTGTGAGGCTTCCTAAAGTAATAGAGTTAAACCACCAAAGTTGTTGAAGGTAACCTGGAGTTGCTTTTGTTTAATAGCGAGAGACAGAGAACAAGATTCTCACTTGGCACATCTTCTCTATAGGGAAAGAGATTAAAAGGAAAGAGTCCCATTGATTAAAGCTCTTTCTTTTTATATTTGATAGGGTAGGTTTTTGTATCTTTCATGCATTGCATTTTGATGAAGTTTGTGGTATTTCAAGCAAAAAATAAAAATACAAAGCAAACAAGTAATAGACTTTAATGCCTTTTTATCATTATTCGTCTCAAGTTAAAATTTGAAAAGACTGTTTAAAAGCTAATATTTTGTCAGGAAGTAGTATTCATTTTGATACTGATGATGCCTGCGATGTATTTGTAAAACTGTGACAGGCAATTTACACGTATTATTTTATTTAATCCCCACCACAAGCCCATGTCATGGGTTCCTACATGGTGCCTATTCATCCATGAGAAAACTGAAGCTCTTGTACATTCAGGAACTTGGAGATCTCACAAAGAGAACTGTGTCACCATGTTCACACAGCCAGCTAGAGTTCAGAAATGAAATGCAAGTGCTCTTGTATATTACAATGGGGCTTCCAACCATTATTTTATCCTGAATTATAGTTTTTATACCAGCTTCAGAATCTTAGCATGTTCCTCAGAGATTGGAACATAAATAATAGCATGTTGATGTCAAGTATAGCCAGGAGGATGAGAATGATAAGTTCCTGGGTGTGGAGAGGGCAGCTCCATGCCCTGGACAAGTGAGGGAATTTATAAGGAATGATGTGAAGAAAAATGGGAGAAAAGCAATGAAAATGAGATTCAAAACTTCTAAAAGGGCCAGGAATGGTGGTGTAACCCTGTAATCCCAGCTACTTGGAAAGCTGAGGCAGGAGAGTCACAAGTTCAAGGCCAGTCTTGGCAATTTAATGAGATCTTGTCTCAAAATTCAAAATAAAAAAGGATTGAGGATGTAGCTCAGTGGTAGAGTGTCCCTTGGTTCAATCCCCAGTACCAAAAAACGAAAATAAAATAAAATAAAAGAACACCTTCTGATAGGCGTTGCTTTGTTATCAGGTGAACAATTTTGTCCAGAGTCCATCTAGAGTTTTATAAAAAATTTTGAAAGATTCCCAGACAAACAACATTAGTTTCTAAGCTTCCATTATCTTTGTCCCTACTTATTGTGTCTTCAAACATTACATTGGAAAGGACAAGAGGATAATTCTTATTTTTGCAAAACCCTGACCACCTGTGCATACTATAGATGCTTTCTAAATGGAATGAATTTCAGCTATTTGAGAGCTAGATTAGAAAAGTTTACATCAGTAGCAGACCATAAACTGTTCTATCCTAAACCAGATCATGATAAAACCCTCAGTCCTGAGAGTCTAATTACAGGTTACTACACAGCTGGAGACCTTGAGACTCTAATTTCCATATCTGCTGACTAAGTGCTGAATTTGGATCATGAAAGATGCCTTGTTTACTCTTTCATGAGATAGCTAATGAAAATTATTATTGTTATTTTTTAACCAAGATGGGTATCTGTATTTATAAGGATTAGGAACTCCTATATTAAGAAAAATAAGATCTATGTAGAGTTGTATCAAGAGAGTGACAACTTCAGAATAAAATAAAGGAATGAGTAACTCATTCCTTATTCTCAAGAACTTTCTCTTCAGGAGCTACGCACAATAAATATGCAGAAAACCCTATTAAGCAATAGAAGTAAGTGCCAAACACTATGATATCTGATACTGCCTATAAGTGCTATAGCTTTCAACAAGTTGTTCACAGATGCAAAAGATCCACATGGACACACATATGAGGAAGACACAAGTATCCTGACCACATAGAAAAAATCAAGTAAATAGTGACTCACGGTTATTTTAAGAAAATAGGAAAGAATAAGTCTAGGGAGGAAGAAATAAATCTTGAGGCTTACAAGTATAAACAAACATGGTGAGTGGTTGGTGGGGGGCTGAGGAAATAATTCTGCCTAGTAAACAGTCAAGCATGCTCCCAATAATTTATTTTCTTTTTTTAAATTTTTTAAATTTGTTTTAATTAGTTATACATGTCAGTACAATAACCTTGACATATCAAACATTTGAATCAGATGGGGTATAATTTCTCATTTTTCTGAGTGTACAGGTTGCAGAATCACATTGGTCATGCAGTCACGTATATACACACAGTAATAATAATGTCAATTTTATTCCACTGTCCTTCTTATCCCCCCTTCTTCTCCCCTCCCCTCCTGTCACCTCTCTCTACCCCAATCTAATGTGACACAATTCTTTTTTCTCCTAACATCGTCATACATGTATTTTGTATAACGATGAGGGTCTCCTTCCATCTTCCATGCAATTCCCCTTCTCCCTCCCTTTTCCTCCCACCTCTCTTCCCTATCTAGAAGTAATCTTCTTCTCATGCTCTTCCTCCCTACCCCATTTTGAGTCACCTCCCCTTATATCAGAGAAGACATTCAACATTTTTTGGGGGGTATTGGCTAACTTCACTTAGCATAATCTACTCTAATGCCATCCATTTCCCTGCAAATGTCATGATCTTGTTATTTTT